AACTGAGGGCAGGGAAGCCAAGCTGGTGGAGCTTCTAAATGTCTTTGGAATTATTTGTGCAGTCCGCTTCCCTGTGCTCCAAGGTTCAGGCATTTTCTACTTCTGCAAACCATCAGACTGGCAGGCTTTCCCCGCAACTTCCCAACCACATCTCCAGCAGAGATGCACCTGCATCCCAACATTCCGTGGCCACCCTGGTTACTTCTCTCTGTCAGAGCCAGCCACCACACTCCAATTTGCAGCCTCTACTATCTCGAAATGAAATGCTTAGATCATGAAACCTCCACTGAGAATTCTTTAAGTGTTAATAAAATGCCCGCAATACACATATAGTGTAAAGGTGAAATAAAAGGAAGAAATTTACTATTAAAAGACTATCTATTTCAATATGCAAATGATGCTTGGGCTTGGTCCCAATAAGACTCAGCTACTCAAAGTGTGAAGCTCCCTAAGTCCCATGGCTGGCATTGCTTTGATGAAGAGATTCTGTGGTTTTCAGAATTGGAGCACAACTAATAAAGTGCCAAAAAAGCCAAGGACAATCTTCCAATTGACCCAGTAGTCATATTCCTGGAGCATCAGCGTCTATTAATACACTTTACATTTATATGCAAACTGGAATTGGGTTCTAGGCTCAGATTCATAGGCTTTCCTCCTGAAAACACACAGAACTTTGACTAGGAGAAGGTATCCAGGAACATTCTCCCCCGGGTGGCCCTGTCCTAGGCACAGCTTCCAAATAGCATCCCATTACTGTGACACCAAAATGCACGTACAACTTTTCCCAAAGGCCCCTGGGGTGCTTTGTACACCCTCCTCTACTGGGAACCATTATCCTCTAATTGTTATCTTCTAGATGGTAAGCCCTTTTGAAATCCAATTATATTTGTTTTTCTTTTTAATCAGAGTACAGCTTTGGTTGTAATCCCAAGAATTAACGGAGATTGTCTCTGAGAAGGAAATTGAAGAATGGAAAAGGAAAATCACTTGTCAGTATCTGCCCTTTTATCCTACTTAAGGTTTTTTTTAACTTTTTTAAAACTACTTTTTGAACTCATAGTTGGGTCATAGTCAATTTCCATAATCTCATTATCAAAAAGATTCCCACAGCTTACACATTACATTAAAAAATAATGTATTGCTATGGACGGAAGGGTGTGATTTCTGAGATTTGCTCACATTACCTGGGGGAGCAAGTCCATGGGAGTAGAGATGAACTGTTGGAACTGGTGCTCTTACCCTGCTTCCCTTTGGGATCTGTTTGAAAACCTCGATAGTAACCATTTCTTTTTAATTATTTTTAATTATTTTTCCTTAACAGAGGAACTGGGGATTTATCCCAGGACCTTGTGCATGCCAAGCACCTATCTACCACTGAGCTGTATCTCCCCACTCAGATGGCTTACCCACCATTCCCTTCCCTGCTCTACTTCCCCACAGAGTTGATCACACCACATAATTTACACATCACGTCTACTGTCACCATGGCCCATGTGCTTTATAGTCTGATTTAATGCTTCTTCAATAATAAAAGTGTTTCATTCTTTTCTGCATTTATGGAAAGGATATTCAGGGTTCACAGGAGATTTTTCTTTTAATGGTTTCCCCAACAGTACATAATTTGCTTACTCTGCCTCCTGTTTACTGTGTCTCTCCCCCTAGAAGGTAGGTTCCATTTGGGTCAGAGTCCATGTCTGGTTTTACTTGTTGATACTCAAAATTATATGAGTAGGTTGCATTTCATTTTTATTGGATAGAGTTAGTATAGAGGTTAAAAGCAGGATTCTAGAGACAGCCAGGCTAGGTTAAAATCCCAGTGCTGTCACCTTGGACAGGTCACTTGGCCTCAGTTTTCTCACATGTGAAATGATGACATAGCAATTCCTACCTCAGGGACTTGCTACCCTGACTAGTAATAAAACTCTCCATGAGGCCGGCTGGGGTCATTACTGGTTGGAGCACTCATTTAGGAAGTCAGATGAAATACATTTGTTTCCTACTGAAGCATGTTTTCTCCTATGCAATGATCTCAGGGACAGTGATGCCCGGTGCTTAAAGGTGACGGGAACTTTTACAGAAGGGAACAGATATGAGGCTTATGCAGGAAGCCTGACCAAAATAACTGCAGTTGTTCAGCACCAAATGCCTTACAGCAGGTTAGGGACACTCCAAGGGGCCACTGGTCCCAAAGACTAGTGACAGATTCTGGATCTCAGCGCCTCTGCCCCCTCCCTCCTCTGCCGCATCTGATTCCTACCGTAGTTACCCAGGGGTCAGAACATACCCTGAAAAGGGGGTGACTAGAGAGTATGGGAGAGCAGGACGGGGAGGGGCTGTCTTGTAAGATTGGGCAAGGCAGAGGGCGGAGGCAGCAGGGTAGTAAGAAGGGAGGGGCAGGCAGAGACTGACTGGTAATAGGGAGTATTGGGAGGGAGGGTGGGGGCTGGTGCTGGGTATTAAGAAGGGAGGGCCTGGCCAATTAAAAGGGCAGTGGAGATGGGGGCCCCTGAGTCAAAGTGAGAGCCCCCTGGCGAGGAGCACTGGAGGAGATGCAGGGTAAGACTGGCGGTTGGTGAGGCCACGGAGGAGGTTGGCTGCTGGGTTTGGTGGTGCACATGGCGGAAGCGGGGCTCACATGGACTGCTGGCAAGGTCCGGCTGGTAGTGGTGAAGTTGGGAAGCCAGCTGACGGAACTTAAGGGTTGACAGTGTTGAGATGCGGGTGGTAGGGGTGGGGCTGGCGGAGGCTGCAGGTCCCTGATGTTGATACTGGCTCTCCAGCAGTCAGAGTCAGGCCTGGAGAGGAGACCATGGACGCCTCGGCCTCCAGGGTACCCCCGCTGGAGACGGAATCTGAGAACGTGCTGGATTTGAGCCAGCTGCCCCCGGAGCTGCTCCTGGCGGTGCTGAGCCTCCTGCCCCCGCGCACGCTGCTCGGCCGCTGCCGCCAGGTGTGCCGGCGCTGGCGCGCCCTGGTGGACGCCCCGGGCCTGTGGCTGAAGATCCTGGCCCGGGACCACCGCGCCCTGTGGCCGGTCGTCCGCAGCTGCCTGCCGCGCGCCGACGCCGCCAGTGCCTGCCTCCTGGGCCGCTTCTGCGCGCGCGGACCCATCGGACGCAACCTGCTGTGCAAACGTGAGAGAGAAGGTGGGGAGCCCAGGAAAGGGGATCGTCCTCAAGGGAGCCGGTGGGAGGGGCTGGAGGGGCGGGACCACACGGGAAACCACTGGACTTCTCCCTGGGACCGCGGGCAGCTGGAGGACGAGTAACCGAGACAAATATTTTTCTTTAACAGGAAGCCTCCAGAAATCAATGATGGTGCAGGATTTGGGCGACCTGGCTATGGAGGAAAGCTGGGAGGTTATGCCTAGGGCCCCTTTGCGGGTCTGCTTCCGGTCTCCCTACAGGTTAATACCTTTTATCCCCCAAGGGCCAGCGGGTTGTTTGTGAGTCTTTGCCTAGTCTCATTCACCTTTCTCCCTCTTTTGTAGGTGGTATCATAAGAAGAAGCAAGTGTTGGACCTGGAGGAGGAGGGTTTCTGGCCTGAACTCCTGGATAGTGGCAAGATTGAGATTTGTTTCTCTGACTGGTGAGTGTGATGATAAAAACACCCCTGGGCTGAGCCCTGCTCTTTTACAGGTGACTCCTCCATCCAGGCCTCCTAACACAATCCCTTAGGATAAAGCAGGTCGGGAAATGACTTAATCACCATCAGAGTTTTAGGAATTAGCAGAGTGCCCTCCCTGAACCCCTATCCTATCCCCCAGAGGGAACTGGATTGGAAGATATCAGGCAGGGTCCAATACAGAGGACTTGGGCTCAACTCAGACTTGTCTGTGAATGAGACGATTCTTACTTCAGGACGAGGCAAGATAGGATCGTTGGGTAAGAGTTCAGATTCTGGAGCCAGACCCTCAGGTTTGCACCCTGGCTTTGCAGCTTTGTGGGGCAAGTCAATGTGCCTCAGTTACCCTATCTTCATAAGACAAGGTTATATGTCAAGCACACAGCCAGTGCTTTGAAGTGTGAGCTGCTTAGGAACTCCTATGTTCCGTGGGTGGCTGTTCCCTATTGTAAGACCATCTATGTGGGTGTGGCCAGCAGCCACCAAATCACATTGGCAGGCCATCCAATATGACCCAAGGACCCCAGGCAAACAAAGATACTCCTGTCAGCATAATATTCAAAGGGTCCAGAGATTACCTCCCCAAAGCAGAGGGCAAAGACCATACCTTTGGACAAGCCTATGGGGGAAGTAACTTGAAGAGCACTGCTAGTTCATCAGTGCAGGTGAGCCAAGCCCCCAAGTGACAGAGATGGTGCTAGTCCCTGGGACCACATTGTGGATTTGCACACATGGGAAGTCCAGCCAGGTGGAGGAGGCAGGCCCAGCCAAAGAGATGGGTGGTAAGTCCAGCCTTCAAGTTCTCCCTTTTCCCACAGGTGGACAGCCCAACAAGACATTAACTCTATATATCGGCTAACCATCCAACTTCTAGATGCCAACCAGGCCATTCTGGATCAATTTTCTACTACTCTTTTCCCCATCCGGAACAGGAGACACACTTCCTTCCTTGAGGTGAGTCTCTGGGGTGAGGGGAAAGGAATGTGGGGCTTACGATGATCAATTTATTTCTCCATAAAAAATTTGCCCTAAAGTTTAGTGGCTTAATACAAACGGCAGTGATTCTATCACCTCTCCTGGTTTCTGAGTGGGGCTCTGCTGGGAGCTTCTGGCTCCAACTCTCACACAGTTGCATTTAGACACTGGCTGGAGCTGGGGTCAGGGTGGGTGCAGTGTGCACACAGCAGCTGGTGGTTGGCCAGCATCTCCTGGTTTAGTCTCAGAGCTC